TGTTGTCCTGCTTGCTTCAGAGTGCGAACATTGAACGCGGCCAGATAGAGTGGGTGTCGAGGCTTGAGGACTGATTTTGAGATTCCTGAAGATGTCGGCACCATGTGACGAGCAGACGCTGCACGCAAAACCGATGCATGACGAACGGAGTCATCAGTCCTAAGTGCTGGGCCTACAAGGAGAGAGTTATTAATGGGGTGGGGAGAGGGGGAAGAAAAAGTATGTGAAGGAGAAAGAAGGGAGGCGTCAGCAGTAGCACGTTTTCGCTCACCCGCCCTGGTGTATGGAGCAAGTAAGGAGACCCGGCTGATGGCACCACGCGACGGCCGATGTGGCATGAGAATATTGTTAGTTGTGTAGGTCATGGTTGTACGAGGGCCGGGATACTGCCAGGGCACCCACGCCTAGACAGGAGGACGATTAGGGTCCTTAACCAAAGCCTTTGGTTCAAAAGCCTAACCTCAAGGCAGCGGTGTTTGGCGGGAAATGCAAATGCATTACCATTTCTACGGAACAACTCGCCACATGTTCCAACCCCCAACCTGGAGGGCCAGGAGACTGTGTTCGTCAGACCCCTAACCACTGACCAACCTGGTATGAGAGACTCTGTGAGTGTCGCGGGACACTCTCCAGTATAGCTCAATTGGTCGCTGAGGTGGGGAAACCATCACACCACGGTATGGTCCAGTCCCTTCGTGACGGCAAAGGACGCAATTCGTAACAAACGCGCAAGAAACTTCAACACGTGAAGCTTATTAGCTATTCTTCTCACATACAATCTCCTCAGTAAGTGACGCACCTTTGGCTGTACCATTGGATCAGGTACCTTTAAAACAAGCCGGGAAACCCAACCTTAGGATACCGGCTAACGTCGGATAGTGGACTGTAGAGGTCCCCTTAAATCCTGAGCATCAGGATGCCATAAAGCATCAACTTTCTACTACAAGGCTGGCATAGGCTGTCGACCTAAAGACCGGAGACTTGGAAATGGAGAGACTTGAATTCAAATGTCTGGAAAAGACAGCTCATTCCGGCTCTACCACAGTTACAGCCAACACGCTGTAGCCTTTTCACCTAACACTCTGGGTCACAATGAGCTGCACTGACAATTTTTAAAGGCTGCAGCCGAGCTCGTACCGAGATTTCGTCCCAAGCGACAAGCTCCAATGTGTGACGAGCTTCTAGTCGACGGCGGCTAGAATTCGCGAATCGAAATGTGCTGAGACGCGCCATATTCCCAGAATGCACGATCTGTCTTCGCATTCAAAATGGTGACAGGTTTGTCAACTTCGTTAACTTCAATCGGTTTTGTACTTCTGACATCCAAAGTGACATCTGTTAATTTGGTGCTCAGACGATGGCAGCCTCGCCAGATTGACTCTATCCTAGTGGATCATGTGCAGAAGATCTCCGTTACTCCAGGTAAGCAATGATAAAGAATTAAGGAGGATTCGATCGAATTCTCGTACGAGTGAAACTTAGGTCCCATGTGGCAAATCACCTACTAAGAAATAAAGCACCCATTTCTCGACTGTCAGTGCCAATGTGCATACATAACCAGTGGGATCCATGTTGCCCCTACTACCCACCAGGGAATTAGGCCACGCACACATAAAAAGACTGGATCTTGGAACGAACCACTAGGTTGTTAAGCTAGGCTAGGCGGGCGAGGCGATCAAACGCGTGGATTACCGTAAACTTTCAATTCAATCAACCAAGTCTCTTAGGGACTGATGGAATTGATACCGGACTGAGATGGCAATCAGTAGGAAAGCACTATCAAATTTGGCGACTCTGCGAAGCTACTTCGCCTTCTACAGCAATTTTCCGGGAGGCGATTGGCCCTTCAGCCCACTCTACGCATTGTAACTGGCGAAGTTATTCCCGGCACGAGCGGATAGCTTTTCTGATGGACATGACATTTAAAATAGCTCTCCAATTGCACGTGTCAACATACAACCATAACAACCACTAAGTCCGCTTCATTGCCGTATGACGCCAACTATGGTAATTCAACGACAGAAAGTACCCATCAGTTGAAGAAGTCTGAAGCGAATATGGTACCCTTGTAGAGATGTACAAGGTACACACTACCGTCTCTACTACACTACTCTATTATTTTCTGTTAAATTTGGGACAGCGAAGTGTTTTCAGCCGGCTGAAGAGCCTCCATTCTGCTTTTCCGTAAGAGATACCAACTTTGTTTGCAGTAACTGTCATGATGGATGTAGCTTTTGAGCTATCGTTCACCGTCCTTATGAATTCGCTTTGCCAGCGAAATACACTCACGCACTAGTTCAAACAAAGTGGGTTTTCAGATGGAGAAAGGTTACACTGATCAGTCTTCGCACTAGGTCGTGTTCGGAAGAAAAGAGCAGTCAGCAGTCGCCTGCTTTATCGATTTCCGGTCGACATTCGATTCTGTGAACCGAATGGTACTGCAGGGGGTACTGGAATCCGATGGAATCCCCACGAAGTTAATGAAAGTGTTGAGGTCTTACAACGCGGTCATGGGGAGACAAGTTTGTGTCGTCTGGGGTCCGACAGGAGTGCCTGCTGTCTAATATACTGTGGAGCGTTCGTGTAACTGAAGCGTGTAATTTGACAGAGAAAAGGAATCAGGCTGAAGAACAATGCACGTATCTATTGGTCTACCATCCGACCTGTTTTACCAAGTACCTGCGAAACCCGGCCGATGGAAGTCTCAGACACTAACAGGATATGTGTCTTCGACCAGAAATGTTTGGGAAATATTCTCATAGTACGTCTCCAAGGCAGGTGTCGAAAAAGAGCTTACGGTAGACTCTTTTGGATTGCTGGATTCGATAAGCTCATCCAGCAATATCGAATTCGTCACTCGTGTGGGGATATAATCAGGGCTGTTCTTTCTACGAAACCGCAACATTGTTGGGTTGATCAACTGAAAACTTGAACCAAAGTCTGATCCTTAACGTCTGAGTCTACAGGCTATCTACGGCCCACATCACTGAAACCAACATTAAATCGATGTTTGTGAGACCCACCACTGACTGCCGTTCTCAGGTAGCTACTGTTCGAGACACTCAAAAACTTGCCAGGGAATACATCCGAAGGAAAAGAAAAGTACCCCAAGGCGTTATTCGATAGTACTACCTGATCAATGTTTATTTGCGTAAGAGCTCCGTGCAAAGGAGTTCACCGAACAGGTTAAAGTAAGAAACGGATTACGAGATAGTAGACACTCAACTACTCTGGACAGTCACAGTTAAGAAGTGTATGAGTGTAGCCAGACCTTATGGGGAATGGATCGGGACAATTAATGTTCCAAATACATCGGGTGTATCCGCAATCGAGGTATTACCTTCCAGTAAACCAGAGTGTTTCCAAAATTAAATGTCGCAACCGCTTAGGATCCATATATGAGAGGCGGCCGGAGAGATTAAGACTAGAATTGACGAACACAAGAGAGGAATCAACAACTACCAAGAGAATAAATAGGGCCCGCCAGGAAATGCGCCGGATAGGGGACATAAAACAGACTGAATTTTCGGGCGAGGACAACGAGTCACACTACAGCGACCGATAACCGGAGAGGCTGAAATACCGAACCATCCTAGTGTGAACGGAACAGAAAACGTAGAACTGTTGACCATGTGGAGATCAGTCTTAGATCAGCCTAGTTGACATGTGCGTGAATATCAGTAAATGTCATCACAGAGATGGTTTAGATTGTTGTAGCAACGAAACTTGAAAACGGCACCTAAGAGGAAGAACCAGAATCTAAAAAACAAACCTTGAGCTCAAGCAAATTTATATCACATCCTCAAAGTCATCAGTCATAAAACTTAGCCGTCCAGGCTAATCAACGAGGACTTCTAACCGACATTCAACGCTGATTTAGTGTGCCATCGGAGGGGATCTTTTTGATTGACACTGGGTCAGTCTGATAATTCGGCCCACCTGATAACTTACTTACTTGGTCTGACGAAACTCTTTAGCTAACAACAAAACACCAACAAGCAACAAGCGCGCTGAGCATCTACCAAATCTTCCTGAAACGTTGATCTTGACGTGTTCTCACGTGTATGGTCTTTTGTGATGAGCCTGTACTACGTTGACGTCTCGAGGTCGCATTTCAGCACATTCAGTCGGGGTCCCAGCACTGTAAACCAGCTAGACTTACGCAAACGAACAAGTTTAATCTTGCCAGTAGCTAGGTAGATAGGACACCCTGACTAAACAAATGTTTTGTGAGGTGGTTAAAACAGAAGATATCAATTTAATGCCGAGCGAGAAATGACAGTTCAACCTTGGAGATTCAGAAACATGTTTTCACTACAGTAAAATGGATGAAAAATCAATGGAGCAGAAGAGCTCACATTTCGAGAACGAGAATGTAATTCCCTCAGGACATTAATGCTCAGGAGGGTGCAATACCATTTACGACAATAAATAAGCTAAGAAAGAATCCGAGGTGTGGAAAACAGCATGTTTAGCTAGGGAAAATTGTATGAGTGCTGAGACACAGATACTCAAAGCGCGATTCAACTGACAGTGTTGTGTAAGTCGACTGAGACCCCTCACTTAGCCTTTACAGAGGCTTGACGCGAGAGTAACCATCATTCTTTACTAGTAGGCCGGAGTTGTTCGTAAAGAAACGCAGTATTAAGGTTACTAGAGATAAGAGTTTGCTAACTAAATTCCCCCCTAGCCATGACCAACTCCAATATACAATAGAAATTTTTCAAGTGAAAAAATCAAGCACTGACAATAACGCCGTGTTGGGCGCCGGTACCTGCTACCAAGCAAAATAGTTGAAGTGTGACACCCAAGCATTTGTGTGCACCGACACTATCTACCTCGACGAGATGGGAATAAAATTCCGGATAGTGCAGAGAACTAACGAGAACGCCGAGACTCGAGATCATCCTTGGGTTCTTGATTGACAACCTGGTATCAATTAACCCATGTGAGCTCAGGTTTACTCCGGTCAAGACCACAGCTTAGTGCTTTTGCCTGCCAAGAGTTGCGTGGGAGCTACACGCCTTTCATATAAGAAACAAATGCATTGATGAAGTATCAGTCGGTCTTCAGGAACGTACTGGAAGGGTAATAGGGGAACGATGGTCGAAAGAAAGTCGCATCACCACTCCCTTTCGTCTTTTCCGCCAGGGCAAACTTTACCCACTTGGTTTGCGCTAAATGGAAGTTGGCACGAGAAATGCTATTCTGGGTGAACAACAAATCCAAATGAATAGTACATTGCCACATTTCGTAAGTTACCCTACCTGGTCGTGAGAGTGTGAATTTGCTGGTGCTAGCTTATACCGGTTAGGACCGAAAAACCTGAAGACTACATTGTTTTCGAATAAACGACCTATTGCCGTGAAGAATTGTAACCGGGGTCTGATTCAGGCTGTACTTTATGCTAAAAAAATCTTTCGGATGCCATAAGAAATGGATAGTGCGGTTCTCAGTTTCAAGAGTTAGGTGTTGGCTTCAACGCACCGCTATCCCAGAGGGATCTCTAGGACACACAAATCGTGTCACAACCGCGAATGGGGTGTTCAGAGATAGCATATCTTGAGTCACTGCCTATCCGGAGAGGGACGGAAAGACAGGATAACTCTAGTCAGTGTTTTCATAGGGGCATAGACCTTCTCCTTCCTTTGAAAATGAAAATGATGTGATTTGCACACTCCAGATCAACAAGGCTCCCAATCACACTGACGTCAACACGGGGGGTTTTGGGGAATCATGACCTCACCTATGAATAAAGTGGTCATCCACGCAACCGCTTGTATGGAATTTTCTTGTTTTTTTTTGGGGGGGGGGGGGGGGGAGGGTGTTCCCCGCACCAGGCAACAGTAGGAAAGAGCAAATGGCTATGATACGTCAGTGCTAATACAGCTCATGAGTGAGATAACCAATATGAAAAAACTGCGATTTTGAAACAGCTTATGAAGCAAACGTTTAGAAGTGACTCTACATAATATCATTTAATACTGAGAACAAATGGAATCAGCCTCAAATAGTAAAGCGGACCGTAGAAGTAAAAGCATTTGGTGAGGGGAATACACGACAGGCGTTCAGCTCGTCCACCAACCCCTTGTCGAGTAGGCGATCAAACTTCAAGTTCCTCATCAAGATAGGCGATGAAAGGAATTTCGAGCACAAATAATTCAGCGCACGTAAATTTAACTTACCGGTGACGGACTAGTTGGCAAGACGGAGACGTCTGTATTCTGAACGCCATGACTAGCATGGTTTTGAGAGGCACTCTGTAGCTGAAGGGCTGTAATGGAATCCTGACACCGTTCATTGAAGAATGCTCCCGAAGCGTAAGAGACGAAAGAGTTCAACAAATAGGATGCTGTCGGAACAGAATGAAGCATGGACCACCAGTATTTCAAATCAGAGGAACTGACGTTATGATGAAGCGAAATGTGGTGAAATTTTTTCATCAAAATACTCTGCCTCAGGTCCTATCCCTTGTTTTGCGGTCTCAGAGATCCCATTATTATCTATAACCTGATGATACACCTGGTTCACAGCGGCCACTATCCTAAAATGATTTTGCATAAATTCGCGAATTCAGTAGAAATCCTGTGGTGCTGAAGGCTACTAGGATCGACTTTCCTTCTACTATTGTTAACCAGCTTGATTTCAGTGCCACGTTTTTGTTGAACATGCCGGGTAATTTAATACCGCACGTGTTTAAGCTGAAGCCGTGTACCAGAGCACGGGTGCTGGGATGCTCCTAAAATATTAATGTCAAACATGTGTAGGGATATGAGAAGTATCATTTAGTCGCCGTCGGAAATGAGTTGGAATATTGGTGTTTTGAATTTACTTGTTGTTATTTGGTCCGGTGGCTGCTGGTCAGTTCGCGAAGCTCCGCAACTGAATTGTAAACATTTCGGCACTCTCCTTCTCTTCTTTCGGCTCTAGCACCTTTTCGGTGCTTAAGTCCCATGCCACCGGAAAGAAGCACGAGGGCTGGGATACTGTCAGGTTGTCTTGTCATAGACAGATCAGAACGCAGTATCGACTGATACTTGTCGACGCTTATCTGCAGTCGCCGGCCGAAGCAGCAGCACGGCAGTGCAGCAGTAGTACATAAGGCGATAACCAGTACACACATCGTTGCTGCACTTCGGCCGTCGTCATGATAACCTACACTGATTCATTGGTCTACGTGAAGGTAGAACCCCAAGTTGGGTTGAGAATAGTACAATAATCTTCTGATGGGACATGCTTTGAAAACGGTACTTGTGAAAGCTCGCTAATGACGAAGGGTGTTGACGGCAGATTGTACCGGCGCGTTCACAACTAGGGAGGAGGATGATTAGGGTCCTCAACCAAAGCCTTTGTTTCAAAAGCTTGGCCGAAAGGCAGAGGTGTTCGGCAGGAAATGCAAGTGCGTGTTAATTTTCACGGGAAACGTCACCAGGCATTTTCCGACCCCCAACCTGGAGGGCTAGGAGATGGTGTTGGTCGGACCCCTAACCATTGACCAACCTGGTATGGACCCTGCGAGTGAACGAAGCGGACAATTAGGAGGCCAGTATCGATGATACTTGTCGACGCTTATCTGCAGTCGCCGGCCGAAGCAGCAGCACGGCAGTGCAGCAGTAGTACATAAGGCGATAACCAGTACACACATCGTTGCTGCACTTCGGCCGTCGTCATGATAACCTACACTGATTCATTGGTCTACGTGAAGGTAGAACCCCAAGTTGGGTTGAGAATAGTACAATAATCTTCTGATGGGACATGCTTTGAAAACGGTACTTGTGAAAGCTCGCTAATGACGAAGGGTGTTGACGGCAGATTGTACCGGCGCGTTCACAACTAGGGAGGAGGATGATTAGGGTCCTCAACCAAAGCCTTTGTTTCAAAAGCTTGGCCGAAAGGCAGAGGTGTTCGGCAGGAAATGCAAGTGCGTGTTAATTTTCACGGGAAACGTCACCAGGCATTTTCCGACCCCCAACCTGGAGGGCTAGGAGATGGTGTTGGTCGGACCCCTAACCATTGACCAACCTGGTATGGACCCTGCGAGTGAACGAAGCGGACAATTAGGAGGAGAAAAAATATAGGATTATTGTTTATTAGTCCTCACAGGAAAACGTGATCATCCATGCTGACGTCAATCGTATAGCCGTCCGACTAAACCATGCGCGTGCGGTATTGTAAACGAGTAGTAAACATATTGACATTCGGCTCAAATCACTTACAATTGTCTGCTCCAGCGGTACTAGTACATCTGTAAAATCTTTCAACATGAACAATTTACCTCGCTTAAGCACATATCGGCCGAAACATTCATCCTAGAACACCCATTAAATCCAGAAGATGCAATAGATTTCAGCAAACAGAATGCAAAAAGTGACCGATATGCGAATACAATCAGCTGACAATCATCGTAAATTAATCAACCCAAACATATCAAAGACAGGAAATTGAAGGTTAACCTAGCACCTACCGATTCCGTTCGACCGATAAGCTTCAGTAACACCCAGACTCAGTATATAAGCAACATGACTGGAAAGTGGAAAACGACTGTCCAAAATTTTACGATCCTGTGACGACAGTAGAGAAGTAATCAAGAAATCGAACGACTACCTCCGCGGCACATTCACCGAGGGTGACAACTTTGGCAACAAGAATACCAATGATGCGGTCATTGACGAGCGCGACATAGGCGATGAAACACGGTTTAGTGATGAGATCTTGGAACCAAGAATCAGGATAACTGAAAAAGTTATTGGTAAAACTGGCAATCGTACCTGACAGGAAAACATTCTTCGTAAAGAGCTCGAAGCTCTTCGACATCCGACGGTTTCACGAACCGGAAATAAATATCTAAAGTGGTGTCATACATGCCACGGCCAAATTGGTGGAAGATGGTGTGTCATCAGTTTGGGGGAGGCTGAAAACGAAGGTAGGCAGCTTTATTATACCGTACATATAAAGTGTGCCAAAAAATCAGATTGCAAACACACTTTCCTCAGTCTGCAGCTGCTTTCTTCGTAAGAATATAATACACGCAGTCCATTTAAGAGTCCTCCAAGTACACAATACTGCCGAAAAAATTTCACAATCCGTAACCGAGTTAAAAAAAAGCATCTGGTGTAGAAAACCGCTCCATCACTGGAATTTCGGATGCATCAGCAAATCAACGTGTATCTATGATGTGCAAAACACCGGTAGGACTTTATCCGCTCCTGTTCTCTTACTCCACAAACAGTTGTTATTCGGGGCAGCAGTCTGCTGAGTATGTATTAAACTTCGCTTTGGTAGACACAACACTCCAAGAGATCATGTTGTATGCTGAAAGTGTGGTGAACACAATCCAGGTCAGTTCACCGATCCGGTCGTTGCTGCACTCGACACATATTACGCTCACATTTCTAATCCACAAGGATCCAAGGCCACGATCGCCACCAACATGATTCGGATGCGAGAAAAACCATTGTTCACTTCGGCAAGCGGACAAAAGAAATAATCTGTGGCGAAATGGAGTAAGCAACAAACGCAGTGCAATTGAATAGACCTTCAAAATAGTGGTGGACAATTTCCTGATTTATCGCTCTGAGTGGGATCCCAAGAAAACACGGTGAAGCAGAAACTGCTGAGGGCCGCATATACTCAGGGAACAAGTGCCTCGAATATGTTGATGGACCTGCTATTTACATTTGAGGATCCGACATCCTCCATGTTTCTAACACGAACAGAAGTAACCCTTGAACTACAGAATGCACGTGGAGCCACAGCATAGAAAAAGACAAGGGGATTCACGGCAGTGTTTTCGCCGTTCAGATAAGGTCAAGGTGTACAAAAAAGCCTAGGAGCACCGTCGATAAGGCTATCATGGATTCGGATCCAAGCATACGAAAAGTAAACAAAATACGGTACCCGGATGGGACTCAAACCCATAGGATAATGACAGGGGAACGAGATGGTTCAGGTGTTTAGGGCGCTAATTTACTGACCGGAAGGTCCGCGGTTCGAACGCGACCTCTGACTCTCGACTTCCCCTGTCTAGGCATGGGCAACCTGAGAGTACCTCAGCCCTCATGCAAGCTTCGGGTGGCATGGCAGTTAGGCACCGAAAGGGGGCTACAGCTGAAAGATATAATGACAATTACTGGGGAGAGCGGAAACGGTTTCTTCGGCAGAAGTGAAGAGGAGAAAAAGGACTTATGGATACACGGTGGGTGAGGCTTTTCTATCAACTGATGAGAAATGGCGGATAAGTGAAGATGCCAGATGTTGTGAACTGTGGCAATTTTACACTTAGTTTGGACTGGTTTTCTCCCTTTCAGCATACGCAATGGTATTTTATGGATTTCACAAGCATCAAATCAAAACTGCAATTTGTTTCACTAGACGGGCAGTTTGAGCGATGCGTTGAAGCTTCCCAAAGTTCCGTGTTGAGGGAAACAGGCAAAATCAGGAAAGATGAGTGGCCTAAACACGTAGCCGATGACAACATGTGCCGCACTAGTATGAACGGCCGTCGTCATTTAAGGAAAAACTTCTTGGGAGCAGGCCAAAGGTAGTATGTGAGAAATATTAAGTGTCATACACTGTTCGATGAAATATTGAGCTGCTAGTATATAATTAACTTTGTCAGATTCCGTTGGCAGCAGACGACACCCGGAATACTATGCCAGAATTTCACAGATGTTTTTTTTTGTTTTCACGGAGTTATCAGCAAAACATATGGTCTACATATAATTGATCGAGAAAAATGCGATTAAACCTAACAACAGTAAGTTTTTTACCAAATGCTCTTGAATTTGACCAGTAACCAGGTTTACATTCAACCACTAAGCATTGAGGAAAGGTTTATGCCAAGGGAAACTGGTAACATCGGTAGCTCGCGTGCTTCTGTTGGCGGTTGATCCGATGGTCGTGGATCTGTTTGCCGAGCTCAGCGATTAGGTTGCAAGCGTTTCTTCACCAATTGTGGTGACAGCATTAGTGCATCCTTCACGAACCCAACTACGTACAGATGATGTTACCTGGATTGGTGACGAAATATCTGCAAGTCAATTGGGTGAACAGAACAAAGGCCACTTGATCGATTGCCAAACTAAGAAAAAGCCCTATCCACACAATAACGGTGAGGTTACCGGAACTGTTGCAGTTGTGTCTGGTACTGCTATGTTACACTCACGTGTATTGAAAACCAAAGTCCATTTGATGATGTTACGACTGATTTCTACGACCCATTTCGGCCATTAATTCAGAACCTTTCACCTGTAGACAAGCGTATCCTACACATGTCGTGTGCACATTCCATGGCCCATTAAACACAAAAACAACATACAAGGAAAATTCATATTTCTTTATTCTGCCATAGTTTGCGTTTACAAGCTCGACCGATCTTTATTAGACAGTACGCGAATTCCGAAAGAATAACAACCTTACTACACAGACCGTACGCAGCATACCACACTTTTTATTCACTCTGACCGCAACGCTGGCGATCACCGGCGCTCAATTCAAGCCTACTTTTGCCACGGCTAATTTTTGCATACGTTGTGCGGGGGAACAGGATGAAAGCTGTAAGGTCCGTTTACGTCAGAGCAACACTCAAAAGCAGCGGCACTTCGAAAATGCAGCCGGGGGAGACAAGTATGGTATGTGTTCAAGCGCAGCACTCTTGATGAGTCATGGAAAATCGGTAACTGATGATAATGACAACAAACGCTAACGAACTGTCGACGCTGACAGGCACTTTGGAGTACGTTCTCCGTCATTCTGACTCACATATTGTAGTTCACGGATATGAGACCGCCAATTGGACTCCGGCTGCGACTGGAGATCAGCTGGCCGCTTCAAATCTATGTTAACCTTACCACCACAGCCGTTGAGTAGGTCAAACTGTTTCAGCACAGGCATTATTTAAAACTCCGCTTATCAGGTGTTCTTTTTAGTAAGAGTTGCAATATCATAACGGATAACTTCGTCACCTGTGCAAAAAATCACGCAAGCACCGAGAAAAACCGGCGACCGTCGCGAAAGATTTGACTAAGAACTTGAGAACCACCAGCTTGTAGTGACATGAAAAATGAAGCTATTAGTAAGTAGTTCAGTTCATTTCAGTTCAACCAGCGCGGACTTTGTGGTATCTTTCAGTCAGAACCCGTCTCAGCAGACAGAGCACGCTGAGCAAACCGATCAACTGGCATTCGGGACACATGGCCCAATCAGCGTAGTTGGCGCGGCTGAGCCAACTTACCAACTGGATGAGCCGCTTATTTGTTGCCAAAAGACATCAGTCGTACTTCAGCACATCAGATAATTCGATGCTTCCATGAGACGTGTGCAGTGTTATGAAGGCACTTCAACAGGCAGTGACCAGACTTCTCAACCATAGACCCAGAAATCAAACGATACTTCTAGAACCGACTCCTCGAACACCTGCTGGACGGCCATACGTCATATATTACCGGCCACTGGCAATAGATATCCAGACAGCTAATCAGAGCCCAAACCTATGTATAGGGTACAATCCAGCCAACTTCATCTAAATATCGGATCTATGAGAGGAACACCGCTTTACTACAGCCTCCTGGTCGCAACCATAATTCAACCAGGTGCATCATCCGACGGCGATTAAGTCAGTGTTCGTGCATCGCGGGAAGCTTGGTGGACCCGAAAGACTTAAGAGATGGAAGAGGCAAAAAACGCTGGAAAAGTACGCAGGCTGTTCCCTTTGGTTCTTTCGACAGGTCCTCGGAAGCCTCTTGTCCAAATGGACCAGAATGGCCCCCTGATATCCAACAAAGGAGAACGTTTGGATCACTGGACACAGTACTTTGGGCAGCAATCAGTTGGCCACTTGTCACCTTCAATCCGAAATCGCGGCCTTCAACAGAAAGGTGGATTGTGAATATGGAGCCACCTTCGGTCTCAGAAGTGTCCGAGTGTATATCTCTAATCAAGCGTCATCGTGTGGCTGGTCCTAACGACGTTCCCAACTTCCAGAATGGTGGTGAATTCCTCAGTCAGTGCCTGTAAAGCCTAGTTCAGAGAATACGGCCAGGTTGCCCAAGCCTAGACACGAGAAGTCAAGATGCAGAGGTCAGGTTCGAACCACGGACCTTCCGGCCAGTAAATTGCGCTCTAACCACTGAGCCATCTTGCTCACGAGTGTCTACAATGGTGTTGCTGTCTCTGATGATGATAAGTCGTTAGATCAAGCACACATGGCTCGCCACCTCCTTTGAGCAGTGCCTCCTCCTCCTGGGCCATGTAATGAGATCGCAAAATGGACTCACATCGTCCAAAGCGGGCCGATGCTCACGTCCCATTCGGGTTCAGTTAGTCCCTCCGGAGGGTCAGCTTATGTGACCAAGCTGAACTGTTCTCCAAAGTGTTCATCGTATCATTCAAGACGACTTTTGCGGGAATGGATCGAGGTCCCATCATTTCGGAGATAGTTTCGCTAACACCCACTCTCCTCGGATGGTTTGTTCCAACTATCTGGAACAGGATGCAATGTTTCCCGGTGCAACTGCCTTCTCCATTTCCTTGGCTTTTGCGATCCACCAGTGCTGTCAATTCTTCAGCTCTTCACTTTGCGTTCGGGGGATCTGCGCGCGTTATCACAGTAATTTGTTGCTGGTAGTTTTTTGGCTTCAGTCAGAGCTGCTGATTGTGGCAAGATCTGATGTCCACTAGGATGTGCATTTGACCTCAGGCAGACGGTTTCCAAGGCTGTGACCAAGGACTCTTCTACCTTTCTCCAGTCGTCATCCAAATCACTATCGTGTCCTTCTAGTTGTGGGAGATCCGCAGCTAACTCAGCTCGATAGTGTTGCAGGTGGTGAACTGAATACCCTTGTATCAACTGGCGCGCTCCAGAGT